GGGTTGAGGAGGCCGGGTAGGGGAAATTATCACTCCTACCCTACCCTCTTTTTCTTATTCTACCGGTCCCACACTGCTCCTTTCTCTCTCTTATAATATGACACATAATATAAAATATTTTATATAGAAAAACAAATGCCTCGAATGAGGTTTGTCCTAGTCCAATCTTAAATTTGTGAGAAATTATATATAATATTTTATATTTATAAATATAATTATGAAAATATTTTCTATTTAAATCCAAAATTATTTTCTACTTAAATCTGAATACAACTTGTGATTCGAAAATATTGGCATCGAATCAAACTCGAATGATATCGAAACTAAGTTGGATGACATGTAACATTAAACTCACAGAGAGAGAATAATTTATATTTATAAGCTTTTTTGTATAAATTTAAAAATACTTTTTTTTTCAGTTTAAACCAGAGTTCAAGATGAAGTCGAGTGACCTGAAACATTGGACTCAAAGAGAGAGTAGAGAGAGAGTGAGAGAGAGAGATAAATAGAGAAAGAGAGAATTGAGAGACAGATTAGGATTATAAACAGATCGGATTCATCTAAACCCGAAACCGGTTCAATTATCAGAAACCTGGATTCAGATTTAATTTGCCTTTGCTTTAATTTTTTAAAATACAAAAAGATTAAATAGTTAATTATTTTTTAACTTTTTATATATAATAAATTAATATAAATATAGCATGCTAAAATCTATTATATATATTTATATATAATATGATATACAAAATTAATTTTTTATAATTTTAAATCCAATTATATATTTAAATTCGAATCCAATCCGATCAGATTATGTAACACAACATTTAGATCCGCTGGATCTAATGTTAGATCAGGTTATGAAGTTTAAGTTATTAATAGGTCTAAGCAAGGATATAAATAGGCTGGGGCGACTCAAACCTGGGTCTCCCAACATGGTACGCGTCTTTTTATCTTAAGACAACCCGTAAACCATTAAATAATATATTTATTTATTTCAATTAAATAATATATTTATGCTCAATAATTTTAATTAAAAATTATAAAGAATAATATTCAAAATTGATATTTTATAAACCAATCGAATAAATAATCTATCAAGTATACATTAAAATCAAAAGATGATTTTAATCTTAAGAAGTTTTGCAAATAAAATATTAATAATAAAATAATTACTTTAATACTTAAAATTAATATATATTTAAATTATTAATTAATTAATAATTTAATTTACATTACATTAAATAACAACATATTAAATATTTAGAAAAATTAAAAATGTTTAGGAAATATTTGAGAGTATAATATTAAATAGAATCTATCAACTCTACTAATCAACATTTATAGCAAAAATGGTTTTTAATTTTAGAGAAAAAAACTATAGAAACAAAACTATCAATAATGTAATAATTATATTAGTAATTAAAAATTTGCATATTATATATATGTATGTATGTATGTATCTTATAAATTATTAATTGATATTTTAATTTACATTTGAGAATTTAATTTTTGGTTGACTTTTTTGTTAATGTAAAAAAATTAAAAATAGTAAAATAGAAAATAAGTGATATAATAATTAAATATATAATATGTGCATATGTGATATGTTATGTGTCTTGGACTCTTGATTGATGCATTATCAATAAAATTGTGTGATATTTATGCATCCTGTTATATTAATTATAATATAATTTATCATATATACCATTGAAATGTATATTTCCTTTGTATTTATACGTTGTTTGTGACTATTTGATTTTAAATTTAGTGTTATTAATATATTTATAGAATTTGTATGTATTTCCCTAGCATAACTAAGCATCTTCATTTTTTTTTTCATTCGTATCCGAATCCAAGTTTTTCGATACAATACTCGATACCGATACTTTAATCTTTGGGTTTAAGAGAGATTGCTTTAATGGTCATCATCACTGTTTCCAACCCATCATTGACTTGATTGGTTGAATAGTTTGAACTATCACCTGACCATAATTCCGGGTTTGGTTTTAGTAAAACCTACCATTTTATTAAAAACCATTAATCATGTCAATCTATTCGAGAGTGGTTGGACCATTGACCCATTTGACTCGGATTGCACACTAAATGTGTGTGCAAACTTGTGGAGGTTATAATTTTGCACTTTGATTTTAGGCCATGATTTTTTCTTAAACTCACAAATTTTAGCATTTTTGCAAATAAAAAAATTAAAATCTAGATTAAAAGGCCTTCGGATCAGTTTTTAAAACATTGTTAATCCTTGTTTTTTATCTAATGACATAATCATAAATAATCGAATGTTTAACATTAAATATAAAACATATTGTAAAGTGTCATTATTACTTTTTGTCTCATACAGTAACATAATTGTAAATATATTGATATTTAATGTCAATTATGAAATAGGGCTAAGCCTTCACTATTATATAGTGGAATATTATAAAACTTTTAATGCTCAATAGCCCAAAGATTCCATTTGATGCAAAATAGGTACTCCATATGTACCCATTTTGCTTATATATTAGCATTGGGAGTTGTGGATATCTTGTATCATTGACAACACACAATATGAAAGAAAGATGTACCTCTAGATTGCATTGCTTTCGACAATACGTGTTTAACTAGAAAGTTGTTTAAAGAAAGGATCAAAGTATTGTTATAAAGTATATATTTGGTTTTATGGACATTTATAAATAGGTCGTTTATTGCTTTAAACATTTATTTGTATAATTTTACTTTAAATGTTTTTCATTTTAAATATTTATTTGTTTTGTTGTTTGGTTGGATATTATTTTAAATGTTTATTTTTTAATTTTCACCTCAAGTTAACATCTAATAAAAGTGTGCTACATAAACATTTTATTTTAACAAATGATGGGGTATTGGGGGAAACAAAAATTTGACTTTTTCCCAAATGCCCCGTGCACATAAATCAAAGCGTTTTAGTTTTTTAGTGTTTATTTGATGAATGTTGAAACCAAACAGTAGTTTCATATACAATAAATGTCAATGCCTATGTGGAATTGATGTGGTGACGTTTTTTTAATAAATACCCGTGGAACTATGAATGAAGTATAAATACATGAGAAATATTACAATCAACAATATCAAGACTTTTAAACATGTACACATTATACAATAATATCACTTCTAATTTTCAATTTTTATTAAAATTTTAGAAAATTTATTTAGTATTTTTATATAAATATGTATATTTTTCAAATAATAAACATGTTTTCATTTTAAACATATTATTTTTATGTAAAATATAAATCATTTAAGATAGATAAAATACATTTTTTATAATTCTCAAATTTTATTAGTTTTTTTTTTAAAATTAATTCTTAAATTATCTATTTTAGTTTTTATAATTTTTAATTTTTATTAAAATTCAAAAATAATCCAAAATAATTAATATACAGTTTTGTCAAACTAAACACCAACACACTCGTAGAAAGACGTATCATACCGGTGAACTCCACTTATGCGATGCTTATCCAATCATAAGGTACCTTATATGTATGATCATAGACAGAGATATTTTAAAACTTGTTTTAAATATAAATTAACCACAGAGTACACCCTATACGTGCCCCACGGTACATTATATTCGTGTATCGGTAACATCAAGTAAGTACGGAAGATGTTTCAAATGCACAAATACAATGTACTGTGGGCACGCTTGTGGTGAGCCGATCTCAACTTATTTATGGGATCTTTCACGAATCCCACCACGCAAAATCAAAAGCCATAAAGCGAAACCCTCACGAATAGTCTTGTTTATGGGTCGGGTAGTTCAACGGGCCGAGCCGGTTCAGCCTGATTCCTATATAGACTTGAACATGAATTTTAGTCCATGGGCTTGACCTCGGGCCTAAAAGCTCAGCTTGACTTTTTAAAGTTTCTTCTAAACCCTAAATTCCTAAAACCGATTAATCTTCCCTCTTTTCATCATCTTTTCAATTCTTCTCACTCTCACTCTCAGACTCTCAAAATCGGCAACAAACTCAGGCATCGTTCACTCTCAAGAGGCAAGCTCAAACTCTTAGGAATCAGCGAAGATGACAAACTTAGGCACCGTTCACTCTTAAAGGCAAGCTCAAACTCTCGGGAACCGGCGAAGACGACAAACTCAGGCACCATTCTCCGTTCTTACTCTCAAACTCTCAGGAACTGAACTAGTAATGGACTTAGACACCCTTCACTCTTAGAGGCGAGCTCAAATTCTCAGGAACTGGTGAAGATGATGAACTTAGGCACCATTCTCAATTCTCCTCACTCTTAGACTCTCAGGAACCGAACTTGTGACGAACTTAAGCACCATTCACTCTTAGAGGCGAGCTCAGTCTCTCAGGAATTGGCGACGAAAAAGCAATCATTTTGTTAGATCGAGCTTCGGGCTTGAGCCCAGGCTTCAGGCTTTTTATAAGGGTTGAGCTCGGGCCTAAGTTATAGGCCTGTTGGTCGGGCCAGACTCAAGCTTGAGCCTGAAAAAATTCTATTAATAAAGAGCAAAAGCCCGACCCAAACCTGGCCCATGAATAGACCTTTTGCATTCGGTCCTGATCTGTTGGCAAAAGCGTATTGGGCATTTATTTTTGTTCTCATTTGTTTCTAGAAAATAAATTATACCTTAAATCACATTTATCTGATTCCAAAGTATGATGAGAGTGAATTGTTATAAAATAACATTTAATATATTATTTTTTTAGATCCCAATCGTGTAGACTATCGTTTGATAATCAAAAAGCAAGGTATTAGTGGGAACAGTTTTAGGCCCCGTTTGGTGTATGAGCTCCAATTGGTCCAACTGTTTGGTTGAGCGGAATTGGAATTATCATCAAATTTTGAAAAGACTAAAACCATTCAGTCCAGTGCAGTGATTCAGTCGTTCACATTCTCTCTCCTCTCCTCTTTTTAGTCTCTCTTTTTCCAGTCTTGTCCTCTGTCTCTCTTTCTCTCTCCAACCCTAAATAATAATATAAATACCCCAATCCCTCTTCCTTTTTCTCTCAGCTTGACGTTCCCTTCAGAGAACACCAAGCTTTTCTTCTAAAACGAATTTGCTCAAATTCTGATCAAATTATCAGCACCATGCAGGCCATCTCACCTTCCCCCAATTCAACCCTACTTAGGTCGAAGCGCTTCACCCCTCATCACTACCAGCGCTATACCACCACTCCCACTCGGATCTTCGTCCAATGCATCCACCGCCCCGACTCAGCTAACTTCTCCGGCGTCGTCGGCTCCAACCGCCACGACTGGCAGAGCTCGTGCGCCATCCTCGCTAGCAAGGTCGTTAGCCAGAAGCAGGAGACGGAGAAGACCGGCAACGCTGACTTAACTGCCGTTAACGGTCACAAAACCCTAGATCTCGTCCCCATCGACAACAATCTCCCTAAACCCCTTACCATCACCGATCTCTCTCCCGCCCCGATGCACGGCTCCCAGCTTCGCGTCGCTTATCAGGGCGTCGCCGGAGCTTACAGCGAAGCTGCTGCAGGCAAGGCCTACCCCAACTGCCAGGCCATCCCTTGCGACCAGTTCGAAGTGGCGTTTCAAGCCGTGGAGCTCTGGATCGCCGACCGGGCCGTCTTGCCCGTCGAGAACTCTCTGGGGGGTAGCATTCACCGGAATTACGACCTGCTCCTCCGTCATCGCCTCCACATCGTGGGGGAAGTACAGCTCCCCGTCCACCACTGCCTGCTCGCGTTGCCCGGAGTGAAGAAGGAGTACCTGAGCCGTGTCATAAGCCACCCGCAAGCCCTCTCTCAGTGCGAGCTGACTCTGACTAAAATGGGTCTCAACGTGGTGCGAGAGGCGGTGGACGACACGGCGGGAGCAGCAGAGTTCGTGGCGACAAACAACCTGCGGGACACGGCGGCCATAGCGAGCGCGCGGGCGGCGGAGCTATACGGGCTGGAGGTGCTGGCGGACGGGATACAGGACGACTCGAGCAATGTGACCCGGTTCGTGATGCTGGCTCGAGAGCCTATAATCCCCCGGACGGACCGTCCATTCAAGACGAGCATAGTGTTTGCCCACGACAAGGGGACGTCGACGCTGTTTAAGGTGCTATCGGCGTTCGCATTCCGGAATATAAGCCTGACGAAGATCGAGAGCCGGCCGCACAGGAACCGCCCGATAAGGCTGGTGGGCGATGCCAACGTGGGGACGGCGAAGCACTTCGAGTACATGTTCTACGTGGACTTCGAGGCGTCGATGGCTGAGGTGAGAGCTCAGAACGCGCTGGCGGAAGTGCAGGAGTTCACATCGTTTCTGCGCGTGCTGGGGAGCTATCCCATGGACATGACTCCTTGGTCTCCTTCGAGTGGAGATTGATTGGTTGAATGAAGCTTCAAGTCTTCAACCAAACACTGAAAGTGAAACCATTAAAAGAACATCAAATTATGGATTTTTTTAATTATTTTGTTTTATTGTTTTTAATTTTTCATATCTCAGGGCAAGGATCAGGATACTGTAATTTGATCCTCCAAATGTAAGATGTGAATACTGTGTCTTAATGGGTAGTATTTTTCTGTAAATTGAAGTTTTAAGGGGAGCTAGCATTTCGAGAGTGGTGGTGTGATATATGTAAATGAGGGAGGAAGAAATGATTGGGGTGGGGTGGGGTTGAGCAAAATAGTTAATTTATTAATGATGATGGGTTTCTTCTTCTAATTAAAAAAAAAAAAAACTGATTGTGTGGTACTGGTTCTAGATGGAAAGGATTTCGATTTTTTTTATTTAATGAATGAATGTTTATATTAAATCTGTTTGGTTAGGCAGATTTGTATGAGACGTGATGAACTGGCTGCTGACTTCAAAATAAGACATTGAATTGTTATCATCAATTGCAGGTCTCCTGGGCCTGGGCGATTGAATTCTCAGCTGCAGGAAGAGAGAGAGAGAGAGATGGTCAATGGAAATGGTGCAGTGAGTTAGGTGGGGATGGGAGGTTTTGCTGGAGATGCAGAGCAGACTGCGAGCGAACCTACTTGTTATTTTCTTGACGTACTCACGTATCATGACGTATATGTTTGTTTGATTTCTTTTTCTTTTTCCGGTGGGTCACTTGTCCTCTGTTTTCTTCTGTTCTCTCTCTTCTCTGTCTTTATTTACTCTACTAGTAAAACAACTCTGTTTCATTCACAGAGCTCAGATTGTTGTTGTCAGTGTGGCTCCCCAACATTTTGGTTATTAAGAGGAGGTGTAACTAATTGTTTTTTGGTTTTAACTTTTAAGAGAAAGGAATTAGAATTCTTGCTTTGTCACACAAAGATTCATACCAAATAGTTTACTGCGGTGGAAGACATTTTAACTATGCCTGATTAGTGTGTAGGAGTGTCAATTGAACCAGATTTGGTCTAAGTTCAATCCATTTTAAATCAGTACATTTAATGTTTGGATCGCCCAATCTGTTCAAATTGGTTTCAACTTAGATTGGTTCTAATCCAAACCTGATCGTTTCATTTACACCTGTATTCTTATCTTCTATAAATAGATTGGTTATTGGTTCAATCTGACCCAATTCAATATAAATTCATTATGGATGGATCAGATCCAATCCACTCCAATAAATAATTTGGACCATTAAGTCTGGACTTTGTTCAATTCAATATATCTTATTGATCCGTTAACATTATTAACAATATATCTTATTGATCCGAACCCAAAATTGGTCCATTAACATTAACACCAACACTCCTATTAGCAGTGTCCATATGACGTTATATTGGCTTAGACATGAAAAGTGGCATGTCTACAATCCACCTTTACTGCTTTTACCAGCACTTGCCTACAACTGAATAAAGAGGAAAGAAAAGAAATGAGAGAGAGAGAACATTTGTCAAATTAAGACCCATTGGCAACATTTAGTTCCATAGTCTTTATTGCTTTACCAACACTTGCCTGCCTCTCCTCGCTATCACTGGCATACTTTCTTCTTCCACCAACCCTTGCTCTCTTTAGTATATTTTTCTTGTATTTCCCACCCAAGATGGATAAGAAGAAAGATGAGAGAGAGAGAGAGTAATATTTATCAAATTAATAGCCATTAGGAACATTCATTCAGTCCCATAGAATTTTACTACTTCACAAACACCTGTCAGCCTCTCCTGGCTATCCATTGCGTACTTTCTTCTTCTACCAATCTTTTGCTCTATTCTATCAATTTCCCACCCAAGTTGGAATATGAGAAAAGAAGATGAGAGAGAGAGAGTCACTGTTTCTACTAATCCTTGCTCTGTCCTATCTATTTTCTTGTATTTCCCACTCGAGTTGGATAAGAAGAAAGGATGAGAGAGAGAGAGAGGAATATTTGCCAAATTAACAGGCATTGGCAACATCCAGTCCTAAAGAGCTTTTAAATTTGATGCTAGTAAACATCGAGTTAGTGCAATTCTTGGGTATTAACGAAGCTTAATTTTGCATTCCAAGAGTTTCGTACACTCATTGTTTACTAGAATTCATCATCGATACTTAATATATAAATAAATTCTTAAAGAAGTGAGGCATGAAATGGCCAGGATATTCCATGTTTCAAATCTCCATTTAGCATCCAAACTTATTATAAAATGTTTTAAACTAAGTTACTCCTTAAAAAAATAATTTAGTATATTTTAAATGTTAACTTGTCATCTCACTTCCAATGCACCAAACAAAAGGCTTATCTTGCTCGTCTGAACAAAGGAGTTGAATCATTGAATCTTGAAAAGCATTGCCCACAGTTTCTGGTCTGCCTTTGGAAAATAATAGAGCACCATGTCCTTTTCATCACCTACTTATGCACCTTCTTAGTTTAAATCCTTTTTTAGGGTTCCTAATTCTTATTCCACCCACTTGTGTTGAGAATTGAGATACAAGATGACAAAATAAAATTGGTTTTCCTCCTTTTTATTGACAAAAAATAATAACCCACTTATGGTTAAGTGTTTATCAACCATTTTCTTTTGTTTTCTTCTTCTTTCTTGATTGCGATTTTGCCGTTGAGTATGACAAAATATGATGATGCTCTTTTGGAGTATTGATTTATGGATTGTTCTCCAATGTGAATTGTTTTTCTTGTTCTAAGTTTTAAAAATAAATCAAACCATCTGATTTGAAAACAAATTAGTTCTTAAAAAAAAAAAGAAGCACAAAACGTCTTCATGGTTGTAATGTGTTTTTTATTTCAAAAACTTAAATAAAAATGTGTTCTTGAATTTCAGAAAGTTTTATAAATCATACAAGTATTTGTAGTATAAAACTTGTTTTTTGTTTTAAAAACATTATTCTGATTGTTTCAACAACATAAATCTTTTTTTTTTAAACAAAACCAACTTCTTTTTGCTTTTCAAAACAAAATTACGGTTCAGAATGTGTTTACCTTGTTGGGTGATATGGTGATTTTCAAAAACAAATGAAAAAAAAAAACATTCATTTTGTAAACATCTTCTAAATGAAAGATGTTCTTTTATCAACTGACATTATAAAAGTGGTAACCAATCAGGTGGTTTTTCATCAAAATTCACGGGGATTTTGATTGTCTAAGTCTTTCCAGTATCTTAGGTTTTTTCTTCTTTTATTTTGTTATGAAAACTAAAAAGAGGAGAAAGACATCTAAAAATTTATGCTTTGCCCCTAGATCAAATATTTAGGTAGTCAAAAGTTTCCAACCCCTTACTTGGTGGGAACTCAATTTTCAATTAGCTAGCAAGCTGGCTAGACCAGACCGTGAAACCCGTTAATTAACTACAACCTGGTAAGGTCAGTGGTTCAAACATACAGTCCGGTCTAAGTCGGACAACAGATAATACTGTCTTCAACCCCAAAACTATTTTGGATGTTAGCCAATTTCATGTGTCTTTCATTTCTGCTCTTGACTTTTGAAAACTAGATTGGACTCACTGGAACCGGAAGGCTACCCGTAAAACCTCCAAAACTTCTCAAAATAACCATTGAACCCGTAAAACCTCCATTTGGTTTACAATCAGAATTGAAATGGTATATTCCCAGTCTGTTTGGTTCAGATACGAATTGAAATGAGAATTGAAATGAGCTGGAATAGGAGGGACCTTTCCACCAAGAATGAAAATGGGAATCCAATTCCATCCAACCAAACAGTTGGAATCCAAATTCCAAATGGCTTATTCCGATTCCAATTCCAGACCCCTATTCTGAGCAACCAGACCCTTAGTGTTGGGAGGTTCTTTGCCAATTGAGGACTGAAAACGCTCAGTCTACAGTCTATATCATCCATTTATTGAAAAAAGAGTAATGGTGGGGTAGGTCACATGGGAAAACTTGTTTGAGGCCCAACAGCGTCTGCGTTTCTGCTCTCCTTCCCAGGGTTTCGCCTGATTGACCATGACCAGAGCAAATCAACCAGGGTCGCCATTGACCCATTCTCTGTATTGACTCATCCTATATGCGTTTTTTTTTTTTAATTCTTGTTTTTGTGATCGTGACCGTTGGATTAATGAATCACCACTCATCTGGTGGTTATCTCGTCTATTCTGTATGAAGTTGAAACCAAATAATTGTATCTTACTGTTTTAGCAATTATATAACATAACTACAGAAGGATGTAGGTTAACTAATCTCAAGCTTTTCTCCTTTCTCCCTCTCCAGTCAGCTTTCCAAAAGCTGATGACTCGGTCAACATCTGAGTCCTGAGAGCGTAACACATGAGCTCAAACTGAGACATAATTTCTTACAACTTCTTTATCTTCTCAAGATGGGTGTCCCAACAATCGTATACCAGGAGACTTAATGTTAATCTCAACCTCTTTCGTCACCACTTTCGTCATCGTCCTTCGTTATGGAATTTAAATACAGAAATTAAAAAAAAAATGGTCAAATATTGTTTATATGGATGCCAGGTTGCCAATTGGCCCAATTCGAAGAATTTCAAGTATATAAGGCCTGGGTTTGGGCTCGAGCGCACTCAAAATTCAGAAAAATGTTTAAGTCTTAACCCAACCCAACCCACGTTGGGCCCCTAATTGTCCCTGTCCATTAGTTGGTTAGCATTGACAAAAACGCAAAATAGTTGAGCAATCTAATCGGTGTTTTTGACAATTCCCGTTGCATCTTGAATCCTTGAATTAAATCAAAATTGAGGGCTTATGCTCTTCCAAGAGTAACTTAGATTTAAGAATTTAGGCTCTGTTTGGTTTAATAAAACATTGCCTGAACGTGATTCTTGTTCTGAACTGCAAATCTAATTTCTTGACGTCCACCCCCATAAAACCCACATATCAGAGAGGCTACGAAATAATCTCATGGCAAACCTTCAGACTTTTACCTACACTGTAATATCTGTTTGGACTATAGCGAACTTGGACTTGCATTCAAACCAAGTTTACTTGCATACATGTCTGAGTAAATAAAAAAAAAGTTTTGATTAAAAGTATTAATATGGATTTTGTAAAGTTGCAAATGAGAAAATTGAAGAGTAATTTTTCTTCTCTGAAGTCAGCAAGTGTTCTATTTTATTAAATATAAACAAGTGGGTGGAAATGGTTGACTCCAAGAGTTGGTCGGGGTGCAAATTGACTCCACCGAGTAAAAAATGGACCAACAACTACTAATTGAGTTTGATGGCTGAGAAAGATACAATATAGACCAGTTTTAGTATCATTTGGCTATGTCGGTGTGGGCCGAGCCACTCTGACCTTAATTGGGGTAAATCCTGCAAACCATTGTGGCTTTTGAACTAGCCCATCAGACTAACCATACCAGCCCCTCAGAACAAAACCATAAGAAAAGGAGAGTTTAAGAAAAGAAATAGAAAACAAATAGCAGCAAAGAAAGCATCAGGTTTTCATGAAGCTTGTGAAGATGAGTTCCCAATCTATTGAGAACATTTACCTGACATCTAAGAAGAAGAAATTAGGAAGAAGTGCCAAATAAACCTTTGCTCAAGAGATCCACAGACCAAAAGTTCCACCTTCTAGTGATATGGAAAGTAGCAAATATAAATAAATCTTGAACAAATTGATATTAATATGTTAGGGCCTTAGGGGCACACATAATTAGCTGCAAAATAGATAGCATAACAGTTATATTACAATTGGTACATTGGTGAAACATAAAGACATGACAGGTAACTGATCACTTGAAAAAATACAAAGTTCAAGACTTCTTTCCATCTCCTTGAATACAAGATAAAACTTGCAGGAACTGTTGCACTCAATCACTTCGAGATTTAAGTTTAAATTTTTTTTGATAAAAAAAGTCTTCCAAGGCAGACTGTCAATGCTCAATAGTATCCTTCAGAACATGCATAGCCTGAATGCTACCAAAGCTCAAGCATCTAGAGCTTGCAAAGTCATAACAAAAATAAGTTTCTCATAAATACAATATTGAACTTCAACCATACACAGGAGAAGAGCAATATACCTTAATAACCTAACCACAAGTTTCTTAGACATGACACCTACAAACTTCTGGAACCATATGCAGCAATCAGAAATCAGGAGGCATCAGTTTGAACAGCTTCCCCTTTTAGCAGGTTGCACATTGGTCAACCAAAATGAGGAAAAGGAAAAAATTAACAAAAAGGAGTATTGATAGCAGTGTTCCTCAAGTTACTGATGGAATATTGGAAATTTGGAATCCTACATGTGTCCAACACTGACACTTCATCCAATAGAAAAGCTCATGCAACATTGATTTGTAGCCCCTACATAAGATTTTTGTTTTTGGTATAAGATATTTGAGAAGCTCTTTTCTTGATTCATCATTGTACTCTGCAATAAAAATTTAAAAAGAAACTTGGTTTTCTATTTTAAAAAGCCATGGTTGGCTATAAACTAATGCTAATGGGTGGCTAATACACATAAAGAATTCTTTAGATACTTTAACTGAAAGAAAACACCATTGGTATTGACTGTTCACAAGCCCTTCATCTCTTGCCTTGTATATGCTAATTGTTCAGTGTCATACATGATTTAGGTGCATAGCAATAGGACCAAATTATTTAATTAGTTATTTAGCTATATGGAGTAGTGAATACTATTTTAACCTCAAAACTTCCCACTGAGGGGGTGTTCAACAACATGGGTGGCTTTGTTTTTGGATACAAAAACAACTGCCACATCACCAAATTTATACTGTTTTGCTGACATGGAAGTTGTTTTTGTTTTTAGAAACAAAATCAACCATATTGTCAAACATCCCTTTAGTATAAATCCATTTACCTAGATCAACACTCTCTTTGTCTGCTTCATTCTAGGCCTCTCCTCCTTCCCCCACAATAACTTTCTTCGAGCTCTCCTCCCTCCTCTCAAACTCTTCAATGGCTCTTCTACCAAATGCTTCTCCTCCCAAAAAGAATAAACCAAGTCTTTTTCCAATTTCAATATTTTTGTCAGCAATTTTCTCGATATCTAATTCTACTCCAAATTTTCTTCTGAAATCGTACCTGTTATCCCCAAACCTGATTCTTTCCCTTCCCCAATATTCTTGATTTTCTGTTGAGCATTAGTCAACTGTGAATCTGAAGTCGGAGGACAAATGGGAACTACCCCACCAGGATCGACTAACTCCAACAATTTTGTCTTCACATCCATTCTTTTGTAAACTTTCTTAAAATTTTTTGTGGGACCAGCTCTGACCAAGACAAGCTTCAGCCTAGAGAAAACTTTCATAACATGGACAATATACATCTTACTAGAAGCCAAAGACTTCTTTGGAATTAATCCAACCTCAGCTTCACGTCTTTCTTCAAACTTTCTCCTGCGACCCAAATCAACACCTAGCTTACCAACCACAACCTCCTCAAAACTAACTGGAGAATCAGATGAAGGCTTGATCACAGAGATAATCTTGTCCCTCGCATCTCCGACAGAGCCACCCTCATCAACACCAACAGTTTGTGTGGTCTTCAGAGTAACATCTATTTGTTTTTCACTGTCCCCCATACCTCCCCCCAACTGCAATTCCATCCCTTCTACTTTCCTTTTCTGAACCTTTAAAACGTGACTCCACCAAAAAAAAAAACCAATTTCTTTAGATGACCCAATAGCACCATCCTGAATGACATGGTCACCGCACACCACTGTAGACAACTGAAACAGAGATGACACGTACTTGTAGACAGACCAGCCTTGCCATTGATACAATCGTCACTAAAACCAGCGAGCTTCTCCCCTTTATCCTCTTTGATCCGATTCTTACTTTCTTTGTCACCTCTCAAAGGCTCCCTAAACCTACTCTCAAACTTTCAATTATTTTTCAAAACTCTCTTCCTTTTAAAACTAACTCCTCGTCTCTTATCAACTGGGAACTTGGACAGCCTCTTCCAGTCTCCCCTCTTGTTAAAACTAGACCTCAAGTGTTGTTCCCCACCCAGGCCACCATCCAAGTTCACAGCCCAAGATGGCTCTTCCACTCCCTTATTCAGACTTTTCTCCATCTCTCTCCTTGGTCCCACATCTTTAACCTTTTGACCCTCCATGTGTCCCATCAGCCCCTTTTGTACATGATCCCCAAAAATTTCCAAAGAAAGTGGACTAGGCTTAGAATTTGAAATGTCCTTAGGTTGTGATCCCCCTTGACTCTTCGAGTCCCAGCTACCACCACACATATCGAGACCCAGTTCACTGCTCTCCATAGGGGAAATAATGCCCGAATTTCAGAAACTACCCTCATCTTCAACCTCTGAAATCTCCAAGTCCAACTGACTGTTGGATTCCCAATTTGTATCATCACGAATCTGTGGGATTTTACCATTCTTCCCCCACAAACTCATATTCTCCACCCATCTCTTGGGATACGAGCCCTCAATCACAAGTTTCAAATCATGTCTCTCCCACAAACTCAGAGGCAGAGAGGAAGGAACCAGATGGATTTCATCCACTTCAACCAGGATACGCGCGAAAACTAGATTCCTCCAGGAGCTTGTTCTTAGATCAATAAATCTGAATCTTACACAGGTTTCAACTACAGCTTCAAAAGCTTGGAAACACCAAGCATGGAGAGGAATATCATAAACATTAATCCACACCAAACTTGTTGGTCCAACATCTCTGAGAGCACCAACCAGTGGGTTCCATCTTCCAATCCTCAGATCAGGAGACCAAAACTGTTTTATGTTCTCGGTACAAAATGTTCTCTGCCTTCTCATTTTCAAAAATGAACAAGATGAACCCAGTGTTCAGTTTTCTCACTTGAAAAAAATCATTTGTTCTCCATGCAGCAGCCACCCACTCCTTCACAGTTTTCTCATTTGGATCCAAATTAACAAATCGACCAACCAAACTCTTGAGCAATCTCAGCCTCCTATAAACACTCTTGTTCAAAATTGCATGCACCTCCCTGACATCATGGTTAAATCCACTCTGTTTATCCCTTGTCTTGCTAGTCCTGCTAGTGTATCTGCCCGTTTGCAGATAATAATCCATGTGAAAGTGGCTCTCATCTCCCTTGCTCCATCTCACTTCCCTTGAAATATGCCTGTAGCACCAATGTTGGGGAGGTATATAATTCTTCATATTGTATCCTTTGTTGCAAACAGTATGTTCATGCCACTTGCCCAAAAAACATCTATCATAAGTGGTCATTTTCAGAGGAATATTTGCAGGTCTGTGTTAAGTATGGGAGCCAAGTGCTACCCTTTGAATCTCGTTATTCAGTTGGGAAACAATCCATGAAGAAAATGTGAACTTGAGTTCTACTCAAAAAATAAAAGCCATTTGTTCCCCATAAATGGTGTAGACTGTTTACAAGACCTCTCTTTTATATATAATACTAGTAATAAGTAATAACTACAAATAATCACTACTAGAAGGCATTTGCATTCCATGCTAAAAATTCAATCATTTTGGAGGAAAGCACATTAAAGATGACAAGGAAATGATCACACATTCATATTACAATAAGGAAATCTGGAGTCTGATTATAATTTTTTTGGGCAAATTTCTTAAACTACCCCTAAGGTTTAGGAAATTGTCTTAAAGTACCCCTACTGTTTCTGACAATTGATGCATAGCTCCCTTCCCATTAAGTCTCCGTCATTGACCGTTTGCACGTGATTTCACGTGTTTGATTTAATTTTAAGCTATACCCAAAATACCCTTTCTGGCTTGTCCTGTCCAGAAGTTTGGGGGCCATTTCTGCAAGTCTGCAACCTATGGAGGTAGCGGCGGCAGTGATTTTTTTCGATCGAAAAATAGACAAAGCAGAGGAAGGACCACTGCCGTCGGAAGTTGCAGTGGCAACAGTGATTTAGTTTGAACGACAAAAAAAAGGGAGATGATGGGGTGTGAAGAGGACGAGGCGATGAGAATTTCACGGTGGAGGAAGGAAGCTAGAGGAGAGAGAGAGAGAGAGAGAGAGAGAGAGAGGGGTGGAGATAAATCATTGCCACTGCTCTTCAGGTCGAAGATGAAGAGGAACAGCGACCCAGATTTCAACTCCTACAAGCCTAGATTTCCAACGGGAATTTGTGGGCCAGAAGTTTGCAAAGATATTCCATCAAATTGCTTGAACAACCCCGCCTCCGAATCCGGGGATGCTCCCGCTGAACCCTCCAGTTAACAAAGGAATAAGCAGGATCTTCTTCAAAACCCGTCTCTGTGCCAGATTCAAGGCGGGTACGTGCCCGTCTCTCTCCCGTTCCCCTGTGTTCTCCCATCTCTGCCACTGTCGTTGCAAATTAATGCAACATCCAGAAGATATCATAGATGTTGGAGCTTGAAAATCTCAACAAGCAATTCAGTTATATGAGTGTGCTCAAGATCCACCTTCTCCAGACTCTGGAGGTTCAACAAGGACTTGGGCAGCATCCTGATCTTTGTATTCCGCAAACTCATATATCTTGGGAGCAACAGACCTGCAACTTCTTCAGGGAAGGTCTCCAATGGTGCATCCTCTAAATCCAGAACATTCAATAACTTAAACCTAGGAAAAAGTGTCTGTTCCAAGGAACATGTCGACCTATCCATACCAAATATAAACAGAGAGCGAAGACAAGAGAAATCCAAGTTTTGTGGAACATTGATGCAACCCCTTTGGATTGACAGGCGTCTGGTTTTCTCATGGTTGCTTGTGTGCAGCTCAGCTAAAACTCTGACAAAATTATCTTCCTCATACTTCAAAAGAATGATCTTGCACTAATCGTGTTCCTCTATGCCAAAAGGAGAAAGATTAGAAAAGAAATAACTGATTCAGGTTATAACTGGTGCTTTGATAATTGATACCATGAAAATAAGCTGAAATCGATATTCAAAGGGAAAATGGAGAGAGAGAAATGGTAGCATAAATCAGTAATAAGAACAGTGGAGAAAAGAGAGAATAGGGGGCGAGAGAGAGAGAGAAGGGTTGTTGCTCGACCCCCTCCACCTCAATCTGTTCTACATCTCTGATCACAACCCCTGAGATTTCAAGGCTGGTCGATCCTCAGCATTTATCGGAACCAAAGACGATGTCTTCCGTTGAACCAAGAGTTTTGAGTTTTCTGAGTGAAGGGCAAAATAGTCTTTTTAATCCTTCCATTAACGGACACTGACGGTAAGGAGGATTTAGTCAATTGTCAGAAATAGTAGGGGTACTTTAAGACAATACTGAAACAGCAAGGGTATAGTTAGTCAATTTCCTAAACCTTAGGGGTAGTTTAATAAATTTCCCCCTTTTTTTATCATTGTAATTCCTTCCGGTCAAGATACATGGATAACTAGTTACACTTTACAGGTAAACTAAGATTACAAATGAACTAGACAGTTTCCTTTAAATCAGTAAAGAAAGCATTCCAATTCAACATATTTTAAGTCTCACATTAATCTATGAAACAACTAATAACAAGAAATATAGTGACACCTGCAGAAATTCAACAAACTACAGTGACACCTCTCCCTCTCTCTATGGACAAAATGCCCTTACAATGCACCACTAAAAGCAAACAGTCATTTCATCTTTTTGGAAATTACAAACACAATAGAAAACCAAATACATCAACAAGAGAGGGGCAACATATCAATAGCAAAATTACTCCAGCTCTAGAGAGAGACAGAGAGAGAGAGAGAGAGAAAGAGGAAACACCTGTTAGATTAAAGCTCTCTGGAATATAGTCCCGCTGGATGTTTGGGTGGTATGGGTTGAGTGATAATGGTAGAATACCAAATAAGAAATCCTCATCAGAAGAAATGCTTTTCTTTTTTGATGTGCAGTTGGCATGGCATCTTCATGTCTCACCATCCACCCACAAGTCAGGGATGTCCTGTCCCCTTCCTATTTTTCTTTTGATTCTTTGTTTATGATGAGATAAGAGATATTTTGTTTCTCATTGGCAAGTGTTTTTTGATAATACTCCTATATATGTACACGTATAAATTTTGACACTAATACCACAAATTACCTTTTTGGGAGAAGACTGAAATCAAATGTTTGGGCATTAAGACAAACCCAATATTTTTTTCTCATCTTGGAGAAATAGAATCCCATGAAACTTTCAGGATATTTCTTTCCAAGTATTCTCATTTTTAAGAAAAACACTTTTCAGTAACTTATGGATTAATTGTCAAAACAAACATCTGGACTTTTTTATGAATAAACATCAGGAAGCTCTTGCAAAGGTGCTAACAAGCTGGTTGGTAAGGTCTCCTTCTGGTTGCAGCGGAGGCTTGGGATCGAATACTGCCTGCACCTGGATTGGGGGATGGGCTACCCCCATTGTCTAGCCCTTCAAAGAAATTACAAAAAAAAAAAAAAATCAAGAAGCTCTTTAAATCCTGCAAAATCATTATTTTCCTTTTTATTTCAGTGTAATGGAGAATTGGTAGCCAGAGTCATCTATTGGAAGCACCAGTCCTCTTGGGGGTCAACTCCACAATTTAGGAGTTGAACAGCCATCTGATTCAGCATAGTTCTTAATGCTTTTTGCACTCCATTCACAGTTGTTTCCTCTATCCTCTCTAAATCTGACCTCAACCCCCCCCCCCGGCAACAATACATAGACACAAACACATTTTTATCCATCCTTAATACAACTATTATGTGGAATTGTGGCATGATATGCCAAGTTACCCTCTAGATACAAGATTTTAACTTCACGCAAATTGAAAAGTCTTACCAACAATGGAAACAAAGGATTCATGCTACTCCTCATTTGTTTGCAGTTTAATTTCATTTGCTCTAGTGCAAAAGTATGGGAATGTAAACGAGTTGAGTCCATATTTTTGGTTTAATTTTGTTATAGGTTTTACTTTTTTTGATTGTTCGCAGTGCACATGAAGTAAAGTAAAACCTGAAGCCAAAATGAACTAACATTTGCAATTTTCTCATTTGCACTCCCATGCACTTGTACTAATGCCATTGCACAAAAAGAAAAAGGAAAAAGAAAAAAAAAACAAAGGAAATAGGAAAAGGGTTGGAAAAATTTTTTGGAACAATCAATCACACCACTGGTCATTTACATAAAA